GCTCAGTGAAATAAGCCAGGTGGAGAAAGACAAGTACCAAATGATTTCACTCATATGTGGAGTATAAGAACAAAGGAAAAATTGAAGTAGCAAAACAGCAGCAGACTCACAGAACCCAAAAATGGACTAACAGTTACCAAAGGGAAAGGGTCCCAGGAGGATGGGTGGGAAGGGAGGGATAAGGGGAGGGAAATAGAAAGGGGGCGTTATGATTAGCATGCATAATGTGTGGGTGGGGCACGGGGAAGGCTGTACAGCATGGAGAGGACAGGTAGTGTTTCTACAGCATCTTACTACGCTGATGGACAGTGACTGCAATGGGGCATGTGGGGGGAACTTGGTGATGGGGGGAGTCTAGTAAACATAATGTTCCTCATGTAATTGTAGATTAATGATGCCAGAAAAAAAAAACTCACTGTAAGGAGTGGGGTAAGAGCTTAGCATTGAATTTAAGTTAGGTGGCTGGGGCAGGCCGAATAATGGCCCCAAAGACGTTCACATCCTCATTTCCCAAACCTGTTACATGTTACATTAGGTGGCAGGGAATAGAATTAAGGATGCTAAGTGGATGACTCTATAAGACCACCCTGGATTATATAGGTGGCAAATGTAATCACAAGTGCTTAAACAGGGACAGGTCAGGAGGGCCAGGGAAGAAGTTGTGACCCTGAAAGCAGAGGTCAGAGGTCTGAGTCATATGACTGTTGGCCTCAAAGATGGAGGAAGGGACAAGCCAAGGAATAAGGCAGCCTCCAGAAACTGGAAAAGGTAAGAAAACAAATTCTCTCCTAGAGGCACCAAATGCAGCCCGGCTGATGCCTGGTTTCAGCCCAGGGAGAACCATTTTTGACTTCTGACCTCCAGAACTGCAAGGAAGTTTAGAGCCACTAATTTGGGATAATTTGTTATAGCAGCTTAGGAACCTAAGACTCTGGGAGGCCATGGAAATTTTCTATCAGTGAGTGGCTCTTGAACTGAGATCTGAAGGCACCTTTGAGACTACCTGGGTACACAGGTAGAGGGAGGAGGCCCCACACACCCAGCAGAGGGATCAGAGCAGCCAGAGGGGGTGTGGTGTCCAGGGAGGTGGATGAGCTCACAGGACCAGGTAGGTAGCATTCAGCACACTGGTCCTTCTAGAAGCAATGGGAATTCACTGAGGGTCGAGCTCAGGATGGCATCATTGGAATTTTGCTTTATACCATGTTAATCTCAGACTCGCCCCCTCCTTCACTCCACCTGTTTTATTGTACCCAGTACTCAGAAACACACATTAATATTAACCAGATACAATAAAAAAGGCAAAAAGGTCAGGGAGCTATTACACAATAAACCCCAAAATCAACTATATACTATTTGTGCATTACCCCCAGACATCCTCTCCCCCCATACAAATGAGACTCTAAAAGATGACCCTAATACCAAGAAAAGTCTGGTCTACTTTGTTTTTAATGGTTGAGGTTAGAGACTATAGTAACACAAAATTTGCTTTCATACTGAAATCTAAGTAAAATTTGAAGTAATAGGCTGAGGGTTTTGCTATCTGTTAAATGTAGTGTGGCATCTAGTGGCCAAAGTTACCAATTTCCATTTCTTCCTTCTTGGCTTGATTTAGACCCCCTAGTGATAAAATATACAGAGAAACCAGTAAGTAGTGAGTGGGCCTGTGTGTCAAACGTGAAGCTGCAGCTGAAGGGGGATTCAGAGATGGAAAGGGGCTGCCTCTGCTCTCCGAGGCACTTGCAGATTCAGATAAAGGGCGAGGGAAAGATAGGTATTTAGATATGCTAATACTGGCTGCAGGAGCACTGTGACTCCCACCTTTAAGCAGGTGTTTGGAAACCAAATGAAGAGAGGGAGGCTTGGGCTGGGGACGTGGATTTGGGATCCATCAGAACAGGTGGTTTGTTGAGCCTAGAGTGTGAGCAGTGAACAGGAACTCCTCTGTTACCGGTACAGAGTAGTTGTGCAGCAACTATCTCCTAATATTAACAAGCATTCAATCAAAACTGCCAAATACTTGACCTCAAGAGGAAAACAGGGAGAGTCCCGGCTCTGCTGGATGAAGTTCCTGGGCCTGATAAAAGATGAAGTGTTTAACCACAGATGTTAGCATATACACATTTTATTATGGCTGAAATGTCAACTTTGGGGGCTTCTACCATGACTATAAATTTGGTGCTTTGGAGGAAAACGTTTATCTTCTCTGAGATGTTTCCAAATTGCAATATGAACAACAATTCACAGAAAGTCTGTGAAGATAAATCAAGGTGATGTGTGTGAAAGAAATATTATGCTCATGTAGTGTCTGTAGTAAGTGAGCAGCCAGAAAGCAGCTGGACAAAGGAAATGATGACACACCTTTTAGCCCCAGAAAGTGGGGCTGCACAGGAAAATCATCCCCATCAATTTACCAACTGCACCAATTTATCAGAAGTGGTTTCAACTGTTGTCAGTTTTGGTTACAGGGAATGATAGGTATCTTTATGTTAATTTATGATTTGCCAGTATTTGGATAGGTCGTATGTGTGTTTCAGGTGTTAATCCTTTAATGTTTAGGGTCTCGCAATTTTATGTTTATGGCTATTTTTGTTTAATTTGACTTACCATGCATTGCTTTTATTATTATAATCTTTCCTGAAAGTCTATGAATACTTTTACCGATTCATTAAAGCTTTTGTGTAAACTGGCCAGGACGACTTCACATGCTTTTTATTCAAAGACAAATTTCAGCATTTCGTAAGTGAGAGAGTTTTGGTAATTTCTTATTTTTTTCCTGATGATTTTGCATTTAACTTTAAACTTCACTGAAATTTAAATTCATTTTAACTTAAAATTCTGATTTCTTCAAGATGCTTTTGAATGAAATGTCAGCCCCATTTTAATTCCTTTAAACCTAATTAAAGTCTATTTAAATATTTTATTTGGATACTACAATTTTCATTTGGATATGCTATTAATTTTAAATTACTGTATTTAATTGTAAACTTGGTGTTTCTGGAAACTTTTTTAAAAAAGCCTAATTTATCATTTGAGATCTTGGCAAAATAATCTTTAAAATGTTTGTGTTCTGAAAAAAATATATAGAAATAACATTTTTTAAATATATAGAAATAATATTTTATTTCTTTGCAAAAGAAATGAGATGTCTGGAATTAATGTTACCAAATGGAGTGCCAAATTTTAGGTTGGAAAATAGCCTGGGAATGGTTAACTTCACACTGATTTCTACGATTGTTTACAAAATTATTCAGCAGTTTTTAAGTATATTAGCTATTTCAATTAATCTTCAGAGTTTTATTTTCGGTAACTAAAAATTGAACATTTGTTGTGTCAATGCTGTTAAAACCACAGTTCTAAAACTGTGTTAGAACCAGTCAGGAACTTTGGTCAGTGTGGTGATCTCTCATTTGCAAAATTTCAGTGAATTGATTCTCACCATTGAGAATCTAGGTAACTTGATGTGGCCAACATGACGAACAGCAGAGGGCGACTGAGAGTCATCGTCCTCAGCGTGGCTGCGACTTCCTGGCCCTGTGCACGTGCCCGACAATTATGTTCTGAGAGCCCTGTCAAGTTTTGAAGTTAACTCAAATTTCTAATCTTAGCTATCACTCCAAAGTGGAGTGTTTGGGTGATTTTACAGCTAAAAAATGCAAACCAAAGTTAAGGCTTTAAAAAGATAAATAAAGGAAAGATGGATTGCTTACTCCATGATACGAATCATCCTGTTATGCCTCCACCCACTATAGGAACAGGTAAGGACCCTTTTCCTGCTGTTTTCTTGGCTTAAGCAGAGTCTCAGGAACTCTGGACATACAATTGAAGAATAGCCCAGTGGATATACAATTGAGGACATGAAACGAGAGGACATGACCGGCACCTACAGTCCTAGTTCCTGGCCACGGAGGGACTGGGTTGGGAGGTTTGCTGGGAAAGAGGAGATGGTATCAGAGAGACGGGGATTGGATGACGAGGGATCCCGAATGAGGTTTGCACTTGATTCTAGGTGAGAAGAATCATATTTAAGGTTTTTATTTTTTAAGTTTCTCCTCATTTTACGGTTCCAGGGGCAGTTACGATGTGTGATGGGTAGGAAGGCATCCATAGGGATGGTCAGGACTGAATAAATAGGATATATTTCAAGAGTGGGAATACCTCTAAGTCACTAAGTTCCTCTTTATACTGAATCCTTTCCTTGTCACAGAAAGAACCTGGGAAGCTCCCTAGTAACTAGATAAAGCCAAACAGCACATGGAGACAATGTCAACCGTTGAAAGGAAAATCCTTTCCTACCCCTCCTGCCTCCCCACCTCTCCAACCAGAGTCATCCTCTAGTCTCCACACCATTAGCCTCCTTATCATTCAGGGAAAGCATAACTCAGGAATAGAAGGGAGTCAGGTGGAGGCCGGGTCACGTGGGGCCTCGCCAGCTGAGGTGAGGATGTCATCACCAAAGCATCTCACGTTGCCTTTGTAAAAACAATAGTGTTTATTTTACCATGTATAGTGAATTATATTGGTTCCATCAAGGATATAAACTTTCCTTTCAAAATAAATGCACCTTTATTTTCAGAAATTGAGTCAGTCTAACAAAACACTATATTAATAATAGCATGTGGAGCTACCACCCGTGTCCTTAAGATGATTTGCAAAAGATTGGATTTAAGGAGCTGTGCTTCATTCCACTCAATCTGCAAAATGCCACTCCACCAATTTGACTCAAAGGACCCCAATGGCCTCTATGTACCCCAAAGTTCTAAGAAGCCATGAGCATAGTGACTTCCTCTGCCCCACAAGCAGGTGGCCATTCCATTTGCACCCTCAGAACTACCTCCTCCTGCCCGGGGAGGGGAGGCAGACTGATGTCCCACAGCTCTACAGAAGGGCCTCCTTCAGGCTCCTGCAGGCGCTTTGGAAGCAGCTGGAGGAATGAGTTAGGTCCTGGTTGCGGGATTTTTTTTTTTTTAAGTCAGACACAGACACAGCTGTTGAGCCACATGCAGACTCCACAGAAAACCCCAAGCCTCAGACCCTTCAAGCAAAGGAAGAGCTTAGGTAAAGTTTTCGATGTAGCTGTCTGGGTCACCAGAGAGAGGGGAGTGGATACAGACTTCTCTTGGCTGTTTACTGATTCTTTTGTACTTGAAATGTTCACAGCAACCAGTCGAGAGGAAGTTGCTGGAATCCAAGCAAAGTTCCCAAACAAGATCCCGGTAAGATCCCGATGTACTTTTTGAAAAGGGGTATGTTCTGTCCCTTGAAGAAAAATCAAAACAACAAAAATAGCAAGAACAACCCAAAGCCCACTGCCTCCCCCCATTCTCAGAGGCTGGACATTGGGAGCTCTCAGCCACATTCCCTGGGGGCCTACCTCCCAACAGGTGATTGTGGAGCGATATCCCAGGGAGAGGTCTCTGCCCCCGCTGGACAAGGTCAAGTTCCTGGTCCCACAAGATCTGACCATGAGCCAGTTCCTCAGTGCCATCCAGTAGGTGACAAAGCACGACGGGGGGCGGGTGCTGGTGGGAGCATTCCAAGAAAAGAGGGGAAAAATTTTCTTTGTGACTAACTTTTCAGATGCCAAGAAGAGATGCTGTGAGAATTAATCTATTTTAAACAGGTGGGAGAGCCCCCCAGATAACAAAACTAAAGAGAATAAAAGGCTGCCAACATTTCTAAGAATTTTCTAAAGTTGCCTTGGCTCTGAAACTAGTCCAGAGGATCCTTTCTTCCTGGGACTGTTTAAAACACAGCCTGCATTTCCCCATAGAGACACAGTGCCTCTTTACAGCATGTGCAGCTGGGGAGCAAGTACCTCTTCCAAAGGTCCCTGCATGGGTCACTCTCTGAGACGACAGACACAGTGGTCCCCAAACACTCCTCACTTGGGTAAAGGAACAGCAAAAAGAAATGTAGCTCTCTTGAAAGCTTAAGAGGGATAGGTGGTGTCACGTGACACATGGATTCAATAAAAATGGTTTGGGAGTCATATGAAGACAGTCCTTCTCAGGGTTGAAAGTTCAGGTGGGGCCAGCCCTTGGAAACTGGATAGCTCTTGCAGCTATTCTCTTCAAGAGTTCATTAAGAATGTGTGTTTGTTTCTGTTTTGTTTGTTTTAATGAGTTAAGAGCATCCCAACTTCTCTTCAGGGAAGCCACTCTAGTCCAGTGAGATTGGAGAGGTCTAAGGGACCATGAGGTTAGGATTAGGTCCCAACAAATTGATGGAGCATCAGGTGACCTCCATCACCCACTGCCCTGCAAAAACAACCCTTTGAGTTCTGAGAGCCATTCTTTTTCCCTTCCTAGTCAGGCCCTCCTTTCTTCCCCACCACCCTGGCCTACTGCACCATCCCAATGCTTGATGCCCCACAGTGTTTACAGGGTGGCAGCTCTGTTCTGGCTGTTACTTGGGCTCTGTTTATAACAATGGACAGAACAGACAAAAACCGCAGCCCAGGCCTTCTCCCCGAGGGCGCCACAGCCTTCATCAAAAGGGAGTGTGGTGAAGGATAGGAGACGGTGGCACCGACACTGGGAACTGTCCCATCGGAGCAGAGGTCAGGACACTCTCCCCCTGCTCCACCCACTCCCACTGCCTACCTGCTGTTCACCCCGAGGCAACCCTGCTGTCTTCAGAGCTAAAGCTTTTGGGTTTATGTTGGGAGGGATTATCTGGTTGTAAAATTAGTCAGGCTCTAGCCCACCCCAGTCTCCCACTGCCACATGGACCAAATGCACCTGAAGGTTCAGAGTTCTGGCCTCAAGGGGGTGGGCCATGCCCACCTCCTAAGTGAACAGATGGAAATGTGCTTCAGGTGAGGCTGAGCCATGACCTTTTACATTGCCATGTTGCCCTCTACTCAGGATGAGCCGGGACTCAGATTGACTGACATTTAGAGCACATCCGGTGGAACCTTGCTGCTGCTCTATCTCCTTGATGTGGCAGGAGAAATGGCAGCAAGAGGAAAGGGGCATGCTAGGAGGGAGTAGCTCCTTTCCAAAAGGTTATCCCAAGGCTGCTGTAATGAGATACCAGAAGAAACTGTGGTCCCTTTACACCTCTGGGGATGGACATACCTTTAATTTCAGAGCAAAGAGGGGCTTATTTGCTTAGCACTTTTGTGTTGGTATGTGTCCCAAGTAAAAACTGTATGGCCTTACCCTTTCAGCTCAGCTGGGAGGACTTGTGGTACCTTAATCCCAGGGAAGGAATAGGGAGCCATTGAGTGCTCCTGGGCATCGTGACCCCGTAGACCCCTGAGCTGCTTCCCAAGTCAACTAAACCAAAATGCATGGTTGGAGTCTGGGAATATGCATTCCAACAGGCCTCTCCTGAGTAATTCCAATGCACACTAGGGTATCAGAACCACTGCCTTTAGATTTGGGAAATGGTGTTTCTCATCTCACACAAAATATATTTACACTGGCCAAACAGAGGTAGTAAAGCTTTGGGTCAGGGCCCACCTGCTGGCCGGGCCCTGCAGCTTCACTTTCTCCCTTTCTCCCACCTCCCGCCCCAGGAGCCGCATGGTCCTCAGGGCCACTGAAGCCTCTTACTTGCTGGTGAACAGTAAGAGCCTGGTCAGCATGAGTATGACCATGGCAGAGATCTACAGGGACTACAAGGATGAGGATGGCTTCGTATACATGATGTACGCCTCCCAGAAGATGTTTGGTGGCTTGGGGTGGGCAGCCCCCAGGGATGGGAGCTGCTCAGGGGCACACCCTGCCATCCTCTGTAGCTCACCTCAAGAACTTGTCCTCTAACCATGCATCCATGCCGGCAGGAGGGTTGGGCTTCCTGGTGTGTGTTGGGGGGAACCCAAGGGGCAGGGCCACCTGCAGTGATCGGCTCCAACCAGGACAGAAGGGTCCCACCACCTTCACTTCCTTTTCTGTACCCATGCTCTTGTGTGCTCCCCTAAGAAAATGCAGCAGCTCTTGGGAACTTTGTAAATAGTCTTTCCTGAGTAAGAGATGGTTGACTTCTGGATGGTTTTAGGCAAAGAGCTGGAGCTGTATTTCCAGTGTGTTCTGCAGCCAGACCAGGACGCCCTAGGGGATTTGATTTCACCGTGTGGCGCAGCAGTCCTGAGTGTGCTGGGTCATGGAACAGGTCTCTGTGGAACTGGGTGGGGCCAGTGTGAACAGGCTCATCTGGGGTGGGGTGGGGAGTCCTTAGAGAGATTGTGGTTCTATTTCCACAGCATGCACTTGACTTTGTTATTGTCTCTTACACTCCCATTTATGTCTCACAGATTCCTGCCGATGTTTTAACTGCTTAATAGAAGGTCATTTAACCCACTTGAGTGTTTACTACAACTACATGCCCAGTGTTACTCTAAGCTCCTTCCTGTAAGGACTCCTCAGCCCAGCTCTCTGTGGTTCATTATTGTTCCATCATTTTACCATTGAGAAAACTGAGGCTCAGACAGGTCGAAACCTTTTCCAGATCCACTGAGCAAAGTCTGCTGGTATTTGTGGTCAGGCAGTCTGACTTTGGAAGCCACACTACTAGCCCCCTCTGCTAGGGGCCCCATCCTAGACAAAGTGACCCCACTTTGCGAGCACCAAGAACCAGAGGCTTGAGCTACCACCCAGTTACACAAACTCAGCCCATCGGGGAGAACAAGGCACACTGGGGCATGCAGCTTTGCTCAGTGATGCAGTAACAGTCAGAGGTCTGGTTTAGCAGCAGCATGAGAATGTGTGTGCTCCCAGAGAGGGCTTTCCAGGTTGTTCAGCATGAGCTGGGTTTTGAAGCATGGATAAGAGATTGTCTAGAAAGGAGTTTTATTTATTTATATTCAATAACCATGTATTGAGCACTTACCGATCAAGGCACTATTCTAGGTCCTGAAAGCATAACTTTGAACAAAACAGGCAATGTCCCAGCCCTCAGGAGCTCACTTTGATTCTAGAGAGGGAAGACAATATCCAAGATGAGTTGAGATGCTTATAAATACAATAAAGGAAAACAACAGCAAAACACTAATTGACAGATTTAATCCATTATGTGGCATGGTCAGAGAGGCTCTTCTCTGAGGGAATGACTCATGTGGGCCAAAATGATGGAAAGGAGCCAGTGGTGGAGATAGAATATGCCAGGTGGAGGAAAAGGTGTCTGGAGGTCCAGAGGTCTGAGAGCCTCACAAAGCTTCCTGGGATTGACTCTGACCTTGATGAGAGGTGACTGACCTTGGACATGCACCCAGCTGCCCATGCCCAGGGCTGGTCCTCTCACTCCAGCCTTCTCCATTTCTGGCTCTTCTGTGAATCCAATATCTAAGGTTGTCATCACATCATGTTGTGAGTACAGAGGGCCTGCCCTGTGCTATAGGCAGTGGGCTATGCTCTGTTTGGTCTCCAAATCCTTCCTAATGGAGCTTCCCTCCCCCATCAAACTCTGGCTAGAACAAGATGTCTCCAACTGCCTCATTTGCCATAGCGTTCAACTGACTATTGCTGTGTAACCAGCTGGCCAAAATTCATTATAAAACCATCACAACTTCATTATGCTCATGGAGTCTGTGGGTAAGGATTTCCCAGGCCAGCTCGTCTCTGCCCCATGATGTCTGGGGACTCAGCAGGTGGACTTAAATGGCTGGGAGTGACTTGAGCAGCTGAGAGCTGGGATTATCCCAAGGCCTCCTCATTCTGTCTGACCCCTGGGCTGGGACGACTCAGAGCTGGGCCCCAGCTGAGGCTGTGCACTGAGGTGGCTCCACTTGTCTCTGTCAGCCTGGGTTCCGGGAGGGATCATCCTAGAAGGAGCAGCTGGGGAGCCTGTAATTCAAGAGACCAGGACTGCAGCTGACCTGTGTGTAAGTGATGAATTCCCATCGATTTGGTCTTTTTCTTTATTTTCATAGCATCTACTCAGGTCAGTAAAATTAGTTGGCAATTTGTACTTCTATAAATTATGATCATGTCACCCTTTTCTATAGACTTTTACAAGTTCACAAGATTGAGTAATTAACTCTTCCTATGCCATGTATATTAAAAATAATTACCCAGTTCCTTTTTATCTTGTTTATGGCAGACTTTCTCATATAGATGCTTTTTATTCTTATGTGATCTTTTCTGTGTGGCTTCCATGTTCTCAATAGAAAGCCTGTCCCAACTCCAAGATTATACAAATCTATATCCATCCTGTTTAATTCTAGCACTGTGATTTCATGTTGTTGATGCTTAAATATTTGAACCAAATGGAATTTATTCTGGTAACAAAAGATAGTACCCAGGTGCCATTTTTTCTAAATGCCAGCTGTTACACATACTTTTAATAAATTATCTACCCATGAGCATTTGGATTTGCTGTGACTGTGTATTTGTCTGATCACTACAACTCAAAATGACACCTTAAGACCATGAATGGTGGCCTTCCTCTTTGGATTCCCTGTGTCTCCCAGTAATGCCAAGCACATTTGATAACTAACGCGTGGTAATAAGTCAGAGACGCTGCCCTGCCAACTTCAGGGGGAGGTAGCAAAATGGTTGGATGTGCTCTGAGTAGGGTTTCCCCAGTGCTTGGGACCAACAGGGAAACCCTTCTTGTTGCTTGTTGAAATGCATTTGTCACCCTCTCCCTACTCCCGTGAAACCAAAGTGATTATGGGATCTATAGCCGATCCCAAATTCACTTGAGCACCTAGACCAGAGGTCAGCAAACCACTGCCCCAGGCCATAGACCTGGGCCAGTTTCCCTAAATAAAGTACACTGGGATGCAGCCATGCCCACTGTGTCCCATGATCTCCCTGCTGCCTTGTGCTACAAGGGCAGAGGTGAGTGGTGGTGATACAGACCATATAACCCACAAAGCCGAAAATATTTACTCTGACCCAAACAGAAAAAGGTTACTGGACCCCTTATGCTAGGTTTGCAGTCATCATGTTATCATCAAGACATCCTGGGGGATAAATCACATTAGAAAGAAGTCTTTTAAATAACATTTTAGTACTACATGAAGTAATAAGAAAAGCCCTTCCAAGCCTACTGGACTCACCAACTTTGGCCCAGTCCTTGACTCAGGGTTTAATACAGACTCACACTGAAGGAGTTCTTAGGCCTGGCCCATTGTCACAGTCTCCCTCCCCATCATGTGCTTCTGAAATACACATAGGGCATTTGGGAAAAGTGTGCTGTTTTCTTTCATGAACCAAGGGAACCAGTTCACAGCTTTTCCCAGCGAGCTCTCCTCAGGGTAGAAGGCCTGAGCCCCCATGTGTGGTCTGTAAAGCTGCAGCGTCAGACTCACCTGGGAGCTTGTTCAAAAGTCAGAATCTCAGGCTCCTCCCAGAATTACCCAATCAGAGTCTGCAATTTATCCAGATCCCCAGATGATTCATCAGCACATCAGAGTTTGTGAAGCACTGGTCTAGACCTTTGGGATGGTAAGTAGCATTTTCAGGCTCATTTTAAGGATGAAGAAACCAAGATTCAGGAAAATCAAAAAATGTTCCTAAAGCACAGAGCCAATCAGTAAACCTGCAGATCAAACTCAGATTTGTATCATCCTGTGCCCCAGATTCTACATGGGGCATACGTGCACTAAAAATGTATGTGTAAAAAATTGACATAAATAGAGCCATGTTAATTAAAATAGAGCTAGAGAGGCCACTGTGGAGAAATTGCCTTACCTGCCTTTGTATGAATGGGGCCAAACAGCAATTGTTTGAGAAGTCAGTGCAGGAGCAGACATCCTGATCACAAGACTGGTAGCTGTGGGTTTTCTGACAACAGAATCATTAGTCATTGAATAACCCAGACTAGCTTAGCTTGTGAAAACTCCATGGAAAACTTTATCCCCTTACTCATGTAATTATCGCCCTCCCCGCCACCCTTCTTCCTTTTCCTCATAAAAAACGCTGCTTTTACCCTTTAAGTGAAAACATGAGTGGGTACCAGCCTGAATCTGTGCTCCCCAAGTTGAAATTCTTTAATCCCAAATAAATGTTTGTTTTCTTCTCATTGCAGCTCTTTATGTTCAGTTTGGCAGTTGTTTATCTGGAACTACTTAACTAGGTGTCCTGTATTTTTCATTTCTAAATGTGGCAGCTCCATGTGTGGCCCTAACATGGGCTATGGATAGCCTTGTCCTTTAGGACTCTAATCCTTGCACAGTATATTTTAAATAAATGGAGCTGCACCCGGCTTTTGGGGTCCCAAACCTCCCATAGGTTGTTCCCCACTTGGATTCACTGGAAAATGCCAATGTAATCTTCAAAACCAAGGACACCTGGCTTCCACCCCCGAGGCATGGATGGCTATTCCCCATCCTTCCTGCATACAAATCTTGTTCACACCTTTACTATTGCATAGCCCACACAGTCTTAATTATTGTGATTAGTATACCTTGCCCAGCAGAATCAAAATGAATTCATATTGCATGTGTAAATTAACAAACAAATGAATAAATCATTAAGGCAGTGAACGTATTTTCAACTTCTTTATATTTACTTTTTTCAAATAGATTCCTGTTCATTTGGGAATAACTGGGAGACTGCTAAAATACAAAAACATACTGAAAAACAATGAAGATGTCCTAACACACCAGGACTTTGGTGTCCAAAACACATTCAGGCAAATGACTAACAAAAACCAGATAGTGAGATCATGAAATCAGCTCAAGAAGGGGGAAAAATGTAATGAATAACTACAACGTTTTTGGTGATTTTACTTACTCAGATTTTCTGAGACAGTTCTGAAGACCCCTGAGAAAAAGTGATTTTCAGGATGAAA